TTTTTTTTTTTTACAAAAATAGAGCTCAAACATGCCCTTTAATTTGTTGCAAGTTTCACTTGTCGTAAAAAAACTCAAGAGATTAATTGATTTGCAATTGAAGAAGTTGTAATCTTGCAAAAGAAATTTCAGGTGGTCCTGCAAATAAAAAAGGCATACACTTTACCCTTGTTTGGTCCCCATTATTTTAAAAATATATTTTTTTACCTTATTTTCGATCAGACATTTTTTAATAAAATAATATTATACGCAAATCCAAACTTTTTTTAAAAAATTTTTAATCACACATTTTTCATCAAAATATTATTTCAAAATGCATTTTGGACAAAAAAAAAAAAATGGGGCTCAAACAGGCTCATAGTGAAAACAATTTGGTTTAATTACGCCACGACCCTCCTTTTCTAAAAAAATGTTCAAATGTACCACACTTACATTCTTAATCATAATTACCTATTTTAATTAAATGTTTGATCAGATTTACCCCTATTTTAATTTAACTACACTTTTAAGTGTCCATTTAGCCCCATTATTTAACATTATAATAAGAGAAATAGTAACTTTATAAAAATGTGTGGTTAAAATAGAAGGAAATTTTTTTGATTTACGCGTAATATTATTTAATTGAAAAATGTGTAATTGATAAGAAAATAGAAAAAATGAATTATAATTTAATGGAGAATAATGTAGGTCAAACAGGGGGCTAAACCTTCAGAATCTTCCTCATCATTCCAAACGGCATTAACCACTAAATCCTAAATATCCCCCCTTACAAAAACCAACCCCCACCCCTCGCCAGCCCCCATCGGCGTAGATTGAACAACCTATATTGCCGCTACTTTTCTCTGACCTTTCTTACAAATACCAATAGTCACCACCACGTTGCCACAATACCCATTATTGCTACCACTTCCACCATCAAACCCTAACAACTTCATTGGCGCTGCTGTTGCCACCAGCATCCCCGTGCCACAACAACCATCGCAACCACTCTTTCGAATTCTACTGCCATAATCCAATCTCCTTCTTTTTCTTCTACTTATTTGTTTTTAATTGTCGCCCTCATCAACGAGTTCATCTCATGTAATATCTAGATCTAAATTTTCATATTTTCTTATCTTTTTGAAAAAATCAAAACATATTGTTGTGGATGCTTGCAGCTGTACATTATGGAGTGGTTGTTGATGGGTGGTCTTGTTGTTGGAATATTATCCTTCAAGAGAATGGAGAAGATAATAAAAAAGAAAGAATCAAGAATGCTAAATATGATAGATGAAAGCCAACCAAGAGGGGGTGAATTGGTTTTTAACTTTTTTTTGGTAAAATTAGTCTAATTTCAATCTAATAAAAAATAGATAGATTAACTTAAATGACGAATATAAGTATAAAAACGATAAGTAAAAGGGAAAGAAGATGCAAACGATATATTTATGGAGATTCGATCCCAAACTTGATCTACGTCCCCCGTTACCGAGCTCTCCGTTACGAGCAATGCCTTTTCCATTATCGTGATTGACTTATGGTGCAATCTAACCGTTTACAACGTTTCCGATGACTTTCAAACAAGGAGCACCTATCCTTTTACAATGTTGATCTTTACGGGACCTCAACACGACCCGAACTATTGAGTTTTACGGGACCTCAATATGACCCCCAATTCAAAAGAGTTTTACAAGTGAAATCTTCTCTTCTTAATGAATAATAGATTCAAAGTTGAGAATAAGAAAAGAAGAGGGCAAACATTTTAATAGATAACAATGAATATAGCTCAAGTGTTGGATTTGAAAAACTTTGATGAAATTGATTTTCTAAGTTTAGAATAATCAAATGTTTTTCAAATATTAATCAATTTATAAGGATGAGTAAATAGTAAAGACCAAGGATTTATCTCAATAAATGCTCACTTATTGCTCTTAGGATGATTACCATTGAATGCAAAATGAGTTGGTATTTGTAGGTGAAAAATCGTTAAAAACTCTATCAAACCGGAAGTCTACCGGACATCTGCCACATACCGGATGGTCAACTAGCCGTTTTTTCAGAAAATCAAAACGGTTGAATTTTTTACCGTTGGCCCTAAAACCACCATACTGGAAGTCCGGTATGGCGTATCGGACTTCCGATACAACAGTTTTATGTCGGAACGTCCTCGTTTTAGTTTTTATCAAATGTAAGTATTTGAGGGACGTTTTGAAAATATTTTTCAAGGTAAGTGACATTTTTCAAATTTGAGTGTAAATAGTCTAAGTGCTTCGTTTTGAACATCTTGACGTACATGCTTGGCTGTACTTAGATTTTTTATCTCGATTCTTGTTGAGACATCTTCTTGCGAGTTTTTGAATATTAATCTTCATAGTCTTGTTTGATCAATTTTGTTTCCATGTTGATCGCTGTATGCAAAGTTATTTTACCTAGAACTTCGTGTCTTCAATTTTATTGATTTTCAACAGTCACTATAAACACTCGAAATCAATTTGTTAGAAATAAACGCAATTTGTTTGTAATAATCAAAACAAGACGTCAACCATAGGTCAATAGTAGAAAGACTCAAACACGATATCGTTGTCCTCAAACAATATTTGCCCTCTCTGGGATTTAATTTGTGCTTAAAGGGACACTTGGTAAATTGTTTATAGGATTGATCAAACATTGAAGAAGAAAATACTCAAACACTTGTATTTGTCTTTCAAAACTTGAAGAACACTCTATGATGCGAATCCACGTAGCAATTGAAACTACAAAACTCACACATGATTGATTCAACCCAAGAAAGCCAAGAATCAATGTTTGAAAGCTCGACCCAATAAATTATTGAATCAAAAAACCAACACAATAGCTGACAATATGTTGATCCCGTGATCACAAAATTTAAAAATCTCACTCGATTTGTTTTAACGTCATAAGAAATAATCTTGATAGGTTCATAATTAATTCAATGAAGAACGAGAAGAAATCAATGTCTTACAGTAAAATCTCTTAAATTGTGTGTTTTACAATGAATAGAATGAGTTCTATTTATAGAGGACCCGTAAAATCTAACTAGAAAGCGGAATTAAACTCTAAAAATAACAAAATATATAACAAAATAAAGTTTTAACTAAAATAAAAGATTACGCGAAATTTTAAAAATTTGCGTCCAGAATTGCACATGCAGTCGCACAGGCCAATCGATAGCCTTCAATTTTGATTCGGTATAGAGGCATGCGATCATACTCAGTTTTGTACTATGCGTTCGCATAGAAGTCTGTCTTGCCTTCAAGTTTTGAGTTCTTGATTCCAAAGCATTCCAACTTGTTTTCGCTCCCATGCCCAACATAGCACTTGGTCTTTGACTTGTTAACTTCGCCATCTTGGACTCCATAGCTTGAATGAGTGATTTCATAACTTCATTTACTCTATTTGATCTCTAATTTGCCCTTATATATCGAACCCTTGATAGTTTGTTTCCTTCCTTAGTTCACGTGATCCCCGCCCTCTTCGAAATTATTCGGCCTCGAGTAAGTACTTACATCAAAGAAAGAAAGATGAGAGACATTAAAAATACAAATAATCATAAACTTACCTTAAAGATCCAAATTGTAGCCATTGGTTTCAATCTTTTCAATGAATTAGAATGATCTACCTTCTCTAGGATGTAATCTTGATCTCTTTTGCATTCGAACAAGTCGTTTTTTGCCTAAGCACCTAAACCCAATCACCTAGTTCGAATATTTTACGTCTCTTCCTTTTGCTACCTTGAGATGCATATAATTCAATCCATTACTTTCCATCTAAACTATCACTTACAATAATAGTTAAAGAAATTAAATCAAACAAAATTAACGGATTTAAATCGTAAACCATATCAAATCGTGTAGTACAAGTAGTAGATGATACTAAATTGGTTTCCAACATATTCCATAAATTCGAACCAAAATAGTTAAGGACTTCAAGATTTCAATATAGATTTTTATGCCTCAAATCACCAACAATGCACCCCAAATTTTTATCACGATCAATTAACTTATTGCAACATAATAGAATATCATTAACTAGTAATTGATTGCCTATGAATGCATATGACAAATGACTTGTTATTCTCATAGAAATATTAAATGCATTAATACGTGTAAAATTACATACCCCATGTGAAAAAATATTACTATGTGCTAGATTACCATCTAACATATGTATGCAGTATTGATTCTTTAATCTTTACCATTCAGACAACTTTGATTCTTTAATCTTTACCATTGGAAAGCTAACTCATCTGACTACAACTTTGATTCGGACATCATTCTCCAATTCGATCACTTTCTATGCCAAAAATAGGTCTCAATATGAGACTAAAACAGTGGAGCATAACTTTTCGGTTGGAAATTGATTTATGATCATCTCAGTGTTTTTATCATAACTTTGTATTTCGATNAATTTTATTTGGATTTCGTGATTAATTTTAGTTTAAACCTTATAGTATAAATGGATTGTGTCAATACATATGAAAAAATAGCATTGAATTACTTAAATCATTGATGCATGTAAGGTATTTGACAAAATGATGATGTGAATTCTGCTACTTTTCTATGAAAAAGTAACATTCTCATAAAAGACACGCTATATCCTTCAAGCAATTAACTAGATGCATACTATGCATTTTAGGAATGTTGAATATACCAATTTAAGTCCCGTTTTATGTTAATACATATGAAAAATAAAATTTTGAATCAATTAAATCATTAATGCGTGCAAGTTGTTTGACAAAAGGAGAATGTGAATTATGTCACTTTTCTATGTAAAAGTGTCACTTTTATATGAAAAAGTCACATTGGATGTAATTAATACTTCATTAAAATATTTAATTAGAGTTTAAGGGTATTAATAAAAAACACCTAAAAAAAGGGTACTGAGCCTAATTTTCCATTTTTTATCGAGTAATGTTATTCATCCCCAGTGGGGATGAAAACACAGTTCATGTGGTTTTAGTTGATAGGTTAAATAAAATGTGAAACCTATTATTTAATGTCACATTGATGTCACTACTGGGGATGAATATCATTACTCTTTTTTATTGGACGTAAGCCTCTCCTATTTCGGTGTACAAGTAAAAAAAATAGCCCCCTCACAATTGGTAGTCCACAATTTTTTTTTCTGAGCTTGAATCCCCCATTGTGAGGGGTCCGATATATAAGTTGCAAAATCCTTCAGATAATACATGACTTAAAGTTAAAAATAATTAAGAAATGTATGTAATACTCAAATTTAAAAGTAATGGAAATTAGTAATATTTTTTCAAACGTCAAGATTTCTCTTTTTATTTTCCTTTTTAATAATTAGGATTAGACTTAACAACCAAAACCCTGAACGGCTAAAACCTTGTACTCCTCCCCCTCTCCCTTCCTCAACCCTAATCTTTACCAGAATCACCACCCACCAGCCCTTTTCGTCATGGCTTCTTCCATTGCAATGAAGAACAACTACATGTGCGCTCAATCGCTGCAGCAATTCTACACGGGTGGCCCCTATGCTGTCTCATCTGACGGCTCTTTTCTCGTGTGCTCTTGCGATGGCACTATCAAGATTGTTGATTCGTTCAATGCTTCCATTAAATCCACTATCGAAGGCGATTCCGAGCCCGTCACAGCCCTCTTTCTCAGCCAAGACGATAAGTTCCTTTTCTCTGCTAGCCACAGCAGACAAATTCGTGTTTGGGATGTATCCTCCCTCAAATGCCTACGCTCTTGGAAGGTGCGATACATATTTGAGTACAATATAAAGTGACCAAGCACTCGTTCCGTTTTATTTTTTGTTGTCATATGATTTTTTTTTTTTAAATAGGGACATGAAGGCCCGGTCATGGGAATGTCTTGCCATGCTTCGGGAGGATTACTGGCGACTGCAGGGGCTGATAGGAAAGTGCTGGTATGGGATGTGGATGGAGGCTTCTGCACCCACTATTTCAAAGGGCACAAGGGGGTTGTGACCAGTATTATGTTCCATCCTGACCCTAATAGATTACTTGTGAGTATTTATCTCAAAATAGAATTTATTGCTGATTATAGTGTAAATCAGTGCGCAAATAATAGTGATACGAGATATTGGAAAATTAGAATTGAAGTTAGCTCATAATTGGGCATTTTTTACAGCTTTTCTCTAGCAGTGACGATTCTACCATTAGAGTATGGGATCTTACTAGCAAAAAGTGTGTTGCAGTGCTTGAAAAACATCAATCCACAGTGACTTCCTTGTCAATATCTGAAGATGGATGGACCTTGCTTAGTGCCGGAAGAGATAAGGTATGACCCCATTTTCCCTCATGCACTATGGTTCTCAAATCACCAAATTTGTAATGGTTTGACTTGACATATATTTGAGAGTATGTCATAGTGAAGTCAAAGCTCTTCACTTACACAATATTGAACCTTAGTGGATTTGTCATATTTCCCTTACCTGGCTGAATATTTATTGGTTACTATTGCAACTGCAACCTTGCAGATAACTAATTGGAAAAGCCTTGCAACTTAAAAGAACAGATTTAGCATCATTGCACTTACTAAATTTATCGGTGCTTTTGGCTAGCAGTAATTATGCTTGTCCAGTTGTCCTGTACTACATGTGATCAGATCGCGGTGATCAAAATTTAACATACTTTACTAGTCACCTGCTAATTTTTTCACAGTAATTTCAGGTTGTGAATTTGTGGAACCTGCACGATTATAGCTGTAAGATCACTGTGCCAACTTATGAGGCACTGGAAGCCGTGTGCACAATTGATTCTGGATCTCCTTTCACCTCATGTTTGGCATTATCAATACAGAAGCTTGGGAGGAAAAAAATCTCTTCATCATCAATTCAGTTTATCACTGTCGGCGAACGTGGAGTTGTACGGATATGGTACTCTGATGGGTAAGTTTTAGTTATCGTTTGATTGCTTCGAAAATTTTACATGGTATATAATGCACTTACAAATTTTTTTTATAAATTTATGTGTAATATGAACAATACGTTTCAAGTGTGTTTGTGTTTTAGCCTGAGTTCCTATTACTTGTAAATTTAGCCTTTGTTTGGGCTTTATTTTTTCAAAAACTCATTTTCAACCACACATTCTCCCATAAAATAATTTCACATATAAACCCAAAACTTGTCCTTATTTTTTTAACCACTCATTCTCCTAAAAACCACTATTTCAAAACACATCCCCACCCCCCCCAAAAAAAAAGGGGCTCAAACAGGGGCTTATTGTCTAGTTTGTCTTGTACTTTGGTCATGGGATGTACAAAAACAAGATTTTCCGATGGATGTGGAAATCAATTTTGTTTTAACCTTTTAACTATATTTTATTGACAATGAGTCCGTTTTCTACATATTTTCTCAAGCACTCTTGAGTAGCGAACCTTTTAGTAGTCTGCTGAAATTTTGAAATTAACTGTGAAACAGAGCTGTGTGCCTTTTTGAGCAGAAGTATTCGGATGTTACTGTCAGTTCAGACAAAGAAGAAGTGAGAAGAGGTTTTATTTCTGCTATGATGTTGCCATCAGGACAAGGATTGCTGTGTGTTACAGCGGATCAGCAGTTTCTCATCTATGTTCCTGAGGAACATCCTGAAGGTGGTTTGAACTTAATCCTGAGAAAGAGGCTTATTGGATACAATGAAGAGATTGCAGATATGAAGTTTTTGGGTGAAGAAGAACAATACCTAGCAGTTGCAACAAGTGTTGAACACGTAAGTTGTTTTGAAATTTCAATGGGCCTCTCCGGCTTGATTATGCTAGTCATGCTGCATAGCACGTTGCCATGACCATGGAGTTCCCAACATTTATTAAGTCCCTGAAAGATACATTACCCTGTGTAATTCTGTGTGAATATATTCAGCAGAAAGAGAACCATCTCGATTCAGATTTGCCTATATCATTTCACTAGGTTTTATGACTTGGATTATCACCTGAGGTATTTATGGACTATGCTGTTTGTGCGTCATTCTTCTCCTGTGACCTTTGTTCGAGTAAGGCTCAATAGGATTGTTGCCATAGCAATTCACATTTTATTGAAGATGCATCCATTTTGTGGTGAAGGACATTCTATTGAAGGAACATTCTTTTTAAAGAAGGAAGAATACTGTTATTGCGGAAAAAATTTACCTTTTCCTATTAATCTTATTTTCACTGCATTCTACCTGAAGAAGTTTACCTTTCAGTTAAGCACAATTCAATAGGATAGAAGGAGATTGACAAACACCTTCCATCAATAAATTTTTACAACACTTTTTGAGCTAGAGAAATAAAACATCATCTCAGGCTTCTATTTTCATGAATTGCTTGCTCAATGGATGTGATTGTCAGCTTCTATTTTTGATTTACAGTTTAATTTATTTTTTTTAGGTGCGAGTATATGATCTGGCTTCCATGTCGTGCTCCTATGTATTAGCTGGGCATACTGATATTGTTCTATGCCTTGATACCTGCATGTTAAGTTCAGGAACAGCACTTATTGTAACAGGAAGTAAGGACAACAGCGTAAGTTTTTGCTTAAACATTTCTCTCTCTCTAACTGAGCAGATTTCCTGTTTTCACATTTAATCTTGGTGTAAGTGCTGAAGTCCTAATCCTGTTAAAAAAATTTCGGTCTATGTATTAATCTTCATTACCCTTGTCTTTATAGGTTAGGGTATGGGAATCCCGGAGAAACCGTTGCATTGGAGTTGGCATAGGTCACATGGGAGCTGTTGGTGCTGTTGCTTTCTCGAAGAAACAGCGAAACTTTTTTGTCAGCGGTAGTAGGTAAATATATCAGAATCTTTGGAATTAGAGAAAAAAGGCTCTTTATTGTCGATCAGCGGATGTTTTTGATTTAGAATTTGCTTTTATACACGACTTGGAAGTTGGAACAGATTTTAATTATGTTTTCTTTATACATATATATTGAAAGAGACTGATAGTTGACCTATTCTGATTTGCAATTACATTTTTCCAGTATGGATTACGTTTACAAGGGATAAAGATTTATAGGAGATTTTGTTCTTGTGATATGTTCTTGCATTGGACATATATATAAACCCCTGTTTAGAGTAGTAGTTTTTGTCACTGATTGCATAATTTATTTGGAATGTTAAATTTTGAACCATCTCATCTAAAAGCTCAAGCTATTAGAGGGGAATTCATTCATTTATTTTAAATGTATCTACAATTTTGCACCCTCCACGTGTAGACCAAATTCTAGATTATTTGTTGAACTACTTCATCTAAAAACCTAAGCCATGTATATTAGAGGAGGGGACACCTTAATTTATTTAAATTGTTTCTTCAGCATATATCTCCTGAAACTAAGAGTTAGGATAAAATCATTCAAGATAGCTGCTTTTATACATAGTTGCTTTTGCAAGCAGCTTTCCTTCTTGAAGTTCGAAGGTCGTTGGAGTAGGATATGGTCTAATTTTATTGATGCATTGCCATAACTATCAATCCCTTCCACTTTATTTTTTTATCAACAGATTTTTTACCATTTATTTCCCTATTTATTCTTTTTGGAAGAACTAACTTTTCTACGTTGTCATTTTTGAAATATGTCACTTGATCTTTCTTGTATAGCTGTCAGTCTAATTGTAACCGCAAGACCTTTTTCATTTGGGGGTGGGGCAGAGAAGGTTGCATATTTTATTTCTTTGCGAACATAAAGTATTTAGCCTTTTCATTATTGTATTTCTTTCTTCTAACTTCTTGCAATATGCTGTCTATTATTATTATTATTATTTTTTTTTTTTTGATGCCTATGACGATGTTTATGCATTTTTAATTTTGGAGTTACCGTGTTTTGCAATTGGGTTTCCCTTGAGACTTTACTGCCTTCAAGCAGTTATTGATAAATTTTGGCTGTGCCGTTTTGACGTGCTTGTTTAGATCATTGTGATGCTGTACTACTACTCCTTGGTTCTTCTATTCTCTTGACAGAGACTGTTCATACATTTCAAGTGTTGACTTTTACTTGCCTGGTACAGTGATCGTACATTGAAGGTTTGGAGCTTAGATGGACTCTTGGATGACTTGGAAGAAGCGATCAATTTGAAAGCAAAAGCAGTTGTAGCGGCACATGACAAAGATATAAACTCATTGGCAGTCTCACCAAATGATAACCTTGTTTGTAGTGGTTCCCAGGTTAGCAAATTATAACAGCTCTTTGTTGGCACTTGAGATTCATCTTAGTGAATGATTTCTTCTCCAAATTTCAGGATCGTACAGCTTGCATATGGAGGCTCCCAGATCTAGTTTCAGTGGTTGTCCTTAAAGGACATAAAAGGGGCATTTGGTCCGTGGAGTTCTCCCCGGTTGACCAATGTGTCATAACAGCTTCTGGTGATAAAACAATAAAAATATGGGCTATATCTGACGGTTCATGTTTGAGAACATTTGAAGGCCATACATCGAGCGTAATTAGAGCATCATTTATTACACGTGGAACTCAATTTGTTTCTTGTGGTAATATGACTTGTTTATTTCTGATCTGCTTTTTTCAACAGTTTTGATGCTTTATTGTGCCTTCTATAATTCTAAATAAATTTATTTCATTATCAGGTGCTGATGGTTTGGTGAAGCTGTGGACAGTTAAAACCAATGAATGCATTGCAACCTACGATCAACATGAAGAGAAGGTACTGGATGAGCTTCTATATTTTTTCACTAATATTGCATCTAAAATGGCCTCTCTACCTTTGGCATTCTATGGGCTAAATATATCAGATGTCAATTACAAGTGTATATAGATTCAAAAACCATTTTCTTGTCTGTTCCCTTTTTATTTCACCATTTAACTACGTTTGTCATCCACAACATATTAGTTTGGTGCTCATTTCTAAGTAATATATTTCTTTGATGTTGAGCAGACTTCCTATAATTGATTCTGTAGTAAGCATTCATTGTTTCATTTTCTATTAACTGCTCAAATCTTTTGGATATGCAGATTTGGGCCTTGGCTGTAGGGAAGAAGACAGAAATGCTTGCAACGGGTGGTGGTGATGCAGTAATCAATTTGTGGCACGACTCCACAGCTGCTGATAAAGAGGAAGCCTTCCGTAAAGAAGTGAGGCATCCCACTTGTCAATTTAAGTGTCTTTTCTTATGCTACATATCATGATAAGGAGAGAATTCTAGTGGGTCCCAGTTGATTAATTTTTTCCATGTTAAAATAATGACAATATAATCCCAGACGCACTGCCTGGCATTACAACTACACCAGTGCCAGTGGGCTGCAAGGGTGGGACAGTATCTTGTGATATTCTTGTTGTGTAAGTTGCGACTTCAACAACGCCAGATGGCTTGAGTTGCATGGAAGTTTTTCATACAGCCACAGTTAGATAGCTAGCTTCTTACAATTCTTTGTGTGTAACGCGGCTTCAACATAAATTTTTCCAATTCCCTGCATTACTGGTCGTAAATTATGTGCACTAATTTCCATGGAGTAGTTATCATAGACTTATCCTCAGTTCGGTTTTAATTATGTACTGGTCTAAATGATAGAGTTTATTTACAAATTCTAATTGAGCATTTTATCTTTTTTTTTTCTCTTAAGATTTGTGTTTTCTTACTGGTCTTAGAACTCTTGATCTATGTTTCTGTGCATTTTACTTTTCCGTACCAAGAAAGTTTGAGAAAACTTTACCTCATGGATATGCAGGAAGAGGGTGTTTTGAGAGGGCAAGAACTAGAGAATGCTGCATTGGATGCTGACTATATGAAAGCAATCCAACTTGCCATTGAACTTCACAAGCCTCACAAACTTTTTGAGTTATTCAGTGGACTCTGCAGGTTTCTTTCTCTTTGTAATTTTTTTGCTGCTTTGTCTACATAGAATTGTTTGTCTGAAGTTGTGCTGTTTACAGAAAGAGAGAGGCTGAAGTTCATATTGAAAAAGCTCTTTGTTCTCTGGGTAAAGAAGAGTTTCATCAACTTTTGCAATATGTGCGAGAATGGAATACAAAACCAAAGCTATGTCATATTGCACAGTTTGTGCTGTTCCGTGTATTTAGCATCCTCCCTCCAACGGAGATTGTTGAGGTAGTGCTTTGGGTTACTCATTACTGGTTTCTTTATGTGTTTGTGAATGATGGACTTCAATATCCATGTGAATGCAGATAAAAGGAATTGGAGAACTGCTTGAAGCCCTTATTCCATATTCTCATAGGCATTTCAGTAGAATCGATAGGTTGGAAAGAAGCACATTCCTCTTGGACTATACACTAACAGGAATGTCTGTCATTGAACCTGAAACGGATGGAAGAGAGTTGAAAGAAGAGGATGTGAAGCGCTTTGAGGATGCAGAGGGACACCGATTAGGAGGCATTGCTCTCGACGAGCAAAACGACAACAATGAACCAAAAGAGATCTCAAGGAAGAAGCGCAAATCACACAAATCTAAAGATGGGAGACATAAGAAAGAGAAGGTAGTAGATTACACAAGTGCTGCAGCTATAACGTCACATGCATAACACTGTTAATTATTTTATCAAGGGGGTGCGACATACTCTTTACAAGAGCTCCTTGTCTACAATTTTGTAGTGTGTTGTTTAAATCAAATTGTAGAGAGTAAACACTAGAGGGATTTTTCTCCTTTTATCTCAAGTTTAATTATTATGTATGGTAGTAGTATACTGGTGAGTGAACTCTTTGAAATGCTTATGCTAATTATATCGGCAAAATGAATGCTTTTTTTGTCCTCTTTTTTGTCATCTTGCATATTTTTTATTTGTGCTGGTCAACTTGGAAGAATTTGGTTTTCGACTCAGGTTAGTGACACAGGGCAAGTTGGATATAAATAGATCATGATTGAGGAAAACCCGCTGAAAATTTTATGGTTTCGGGCATAATGATGGTAACCTTTTTAACAGGTGCTTAAGGAGTAAGCACAAAAACTTGAGACTGCTGGTGCACAAGAGAAGGACATGGTAGACCATGAAATTATGCCCC